GGAGGCTTTAAGAAAATCAACAGATTGGATTTGCTACTGCTTGCGTTATTGCCTTACGTTCTCAACTGTGATTGGTCGATTTTCTCATGCTTACGCCCTTTCCTTACGCCCATTTTCATTTTTGGAACTTTTTCGCTACACCCATTTTCAAGCACTGCCGATAAAGTCTCCACTTGGATATACTAACATGCTTAGAAAATTATCTATCAATTTGTCACCGTGACGCGATTTATAAAAGGTCCGATTTAGAGTTATACGCGTGCGAATAGGATTTAATAGGAATCTTGTTAATCTCGCACATATGCGAGATGTAAAGAAGATAAGATAGCCCACCCGAATTTTGATATATAGGAAATTATTTTGCACATTCCAAGAAATGACGTAGCGCCGTAAACACCTCGGCCGAAAACCGAGCGCGGATTCCAATAGATTGTTTTCGACCGCGGTGTTGACGCGCTACGTCATTTCTTGGAATCCGCGCTCGGTTTTTACGGTGTTTACGCGGCGCCGTACGCAGGGTCATTCGCGCGGCAACAGTCGAATTGATCGGTTATGCCCGCGCCGCTTCGCATATCGCATTAGTCTTTCTTGATACGCGTTCGCGACAAGTGCGGGAAGAACCGCATCGCTCTTTACGAATAATCAGTGATTGATATCATCGTGCGATCGCTGAATTCCCGTGATTTGCCATCGATGCCCGATGTAATCGAACAGTTCGTGTAGCGGCAATCGGACTCAGTGAAAACCGAAGAAGTGGCATCCGGATAAAATGACAGTGACAAGTAACTTTACAAACGGAAGTGTAAATTGGCGAGTGTGCTGGAGGACAGCTGAGACAACGACACCCGAGAGAAGATCATCTGACAATGAGTGGAGGAGGAGGCATCGGGCGCCACTGCAGCATCAACACAGAGTGAAAAGTTTTTTTATTAAAGTAACGGAATCTCGCGGTCGGTTTTCGCGATCAGTTTTTGACAACATGTTCAGGAAATTATTAATTGTTTAATTTCATCGCGGAATATAATCAAAATAAATACAACACAAAGTAAAATTTTATTCAATATTTATGTGTTTAAATTTTGTATTCGAAGACCGAGTTACAAAGAGACGATCAGTGCTTTTGAAAACGGAAGTAAAATTACACTTTGATCAGTTTTAAAAATTAAATTTTTTAAAATTACGTTTCTTCTTTAAATAACTTCTCTCCTGGTCGTGCGTTTTTCGATACGATCGGCGCTCGCATGTTATAGTTGGCACCGTACGAAATATCTGTCGGTGATAAACCGACTATATGGAAGGAGTTTTCTCTCTTCCTGATCTCTGATCAAAATGACCAGACTGTGTGGCCAGGAGCAACGAAAGGTATGTCCAATCTGGTCCAACGAAAGAAGACTGGATACGACGGGGTATCTCCGTACTAAAGCCTCCGCTACAATGATTCTCGGTTCTGTCTACAATGGTCGTAGTCGTAGTCGCTCGATAAGAATTGACCAATCGCAGTCGATTATTCTTACGACTACGACCATTGTAGACAGAACCGAGAATCATTGTAGCGGAGGCTTTAGGCGCATGCGCGACTGAGAAGGATAGAAGGGGCCATGTAGCGCTCCTTTTCTATACCTACATCGCAGTCGCTTACATTTAGCATATGACTCGCGCACTCTAATCTTATATCTCTATGGCCGACACTCTCGCTCCGCGCGCAACTTCACGCCGGTAAGCCGCGAAGAAGGAACGCGAGCGTGGGAAACGCGCGGGGAAGAGGCTCGGCCTGACGAGGACAATTAGAGATATCTCGTTGTTGCGAACGCTTTGTATCTTCCGATCGTCATTCAATGTTGCATCAGCTGCGTCAATAGGAGAACAATTGCCAATTGACCACGTGTATGGAAATATATATGGACGGAAGCGACGCTTAATTTATTGCGTTATAATTCAAGTACGTGTGTACGTATGCACGAGGTCATTAATTAATGCCTTATTACGTGATTATATGCGTAGAAAATTATATCCATTTGTCCATTTTCCAGGCGTATTGATGTGATCGACGAGTGTCTAAATTCAAGCTGAGGAATTATTGTTGTATAATGTATGTACTTTATGTAGTCAAGTTTAAGTTTACATCTCAAGAAATAATGTTTCGTATATAATTTAGGTTTCCTTGTTTTTGTATAATCTCTTGATATAAAAATGTATAGAGGAAAGTCCCGTATTATGAGACAGGATCCTAATATGGGACAGCGGGGTTTCTGTTAAATTAATAGACATCATCAATTGATTCCACTACGAATTTATTGCCCTTGGAGCGAAATCTGTTCGGTGGAAAATTCATTGTTAGATCGTGTAGTCGTCGCGAAAAACTATCTGTGTTTGAATTTGGGTGTTGAAAACCTGCCATCTCATATTAGAAACTTATAACAGAGAACTTTCCTCTAAATACCAAGAAAAGTAACTCTTGCACTTTCTGCAAAAAGTAAAGTTGCGACTAGAAAGAGATTATTCAATATATTCTATACATTATACAGTTATATTTTCTGTACAATTACATATGGGCGTTTTTTCTCTTTTATGTTTTTTTTTGTAAAAAGAACAGTGCAAAAATTGTTATTCTGTTCCTACAATTGTCAGTTATTCGGTTAAAAGCTACAAGAAAACAATTCATCAGTAGATTGTTACAGATTCCGCTCGGTTCTTGCAATCAATCTGCCATCATACTCCGCTAACAGATTCTGTTATATTTCTGCTAGCGCTCCATCAACGATATATGTAACAGAATGGGCGTTTTCCAGGAAGAGACACCGTTGACGCAGTGCAACACGGTAAATCGTTTCGTTTTTGTTTGCCGGAGCTAAACAAGAGTGAAATGATTCATTGTGTTGCGCCGCGTCAGCCGTGTCTCTGCCGCTGGAAAACGCGCGATATCTGCAAAATCTCTCCGACAAATTTGACCCCGCGTTTAAATCCCACATTCCACCATTAAATGACGGCCGCGTCGCCGAGTCTCTCCCGTCTCGGCGGGTAAGATACGCCTATGTAATCTCGTACGCGATCGCAACTAATCGCAACGGAGATCCGGATAGCCATCTAAATGCGCAATAACGAACGCCACGTGCGACTGGGAGTCACGCAATTCGTCGTGCGAGGAGTCGAGAGTCGGAAAGTCGCTCGAAGGAGGCAGGAGCCGCTCTCGTCGTGGGCGCAATTCTCTACGTCGCTCGGGCAGGGGAAAAAAAGACAGGCGATATCGGGTACCCGGTGGAACCAGTCGCGAACGTTCCGCCCATATTTGGGACATTTTTTTTTTCAACGCGCAACGGTCGCGACGTCCCACGCGCTCTTGCCCGAAGGATGCAGCCATATGATTCATCCGGAATGACTGTTTTCTTTTTCTCAAGACGATTCTAACGGTTCAGCATTCGAAGACAATGCGTCTTTCGCGATTCATCGATACCGAGAGACTCGGGCGACTCTTTTCGGCGTCGTAAAAAAAGGAGGCGCGAGAAGAGTAGAAGTTTAAAAATAATGCAGATATTCTTTAATCTTGTATTTCGTTATTTTAATTGATTACAGATTGTGCCGGGAAATTGTTTATCACGTGCGAAGCGATTCGTTCTCGTTGAAATATTTCGGAAAAGGGTATTAAAAGAATTAATTGGAACAAGGAATTCGCCAAGTTTTCAGGCTACAAATGAAAGTAAGTTTAAGTACCAAGATATTACGAACGAGATTAATTTAAAAAAAAGACTGTAAAGAAATGTGTTAAAGATTGATCTTAAAATTATTATTATTGCCACTCGTTTTTAATGCAGATATTAATTGAAATTCGGGTGATGCGACGTTCAAAGAATGAACAATAAATTTGTCCATTTAAATTCAGGTGACGCGGCGCTTCGAACAGCCCAAGATAATATAATGTCCATTCCTACAAGGACTAACTTTATTCCCTACTTAACTAATTGTAAGTCTTTTGGCCGGTAGTCAAAGTTCAAGACCGCGTCATAAGATCATCTTAAGATACTCCATAGCCAATGAAATGTTCCATGGAGCATCTTTAGATAAATTCAAGACAATCTTAAATATACGATCTAACTATGAATACCGGCCTTAATCTTTTTCCAATTCCTGAAACTAGGAAAAAAAAAGTAAGTCAGACCGAGATCAAAGTTAATCTGCATCGGTGGACGTGAACATAAAGTCTGATCTACAATGTACTCTCTTTGCGCCTGAAACATTCTATCTTATATAAGTAAATCGAAACGCTTAAAAAAAATGATTGACGATATATACAAGTGTACAATATATAATGTACAATTTCTCAACTTGCACAAATTTTTTTCAAACGTATTCTCCACAAAATAAAATGTCTCTAGGCGCAAAGAGCACATCGTAGATCAGACCCGAGTGAAACAAAGCTGCGTTTTCGAGCACGGAAAAGCGGTGTGAAATCAAATGGACGAAGCGGTGTGCACGGCGCGCGAGCAGCTACCTTCCTCCTTGATATCAGTCGGCAGCCGGTGCCGCAGCAGCCGCCAAGTTAGTTAATCGAGAACGATCCCGCGGCGCACACACACGGCGGCACTTACACGGCGCGCCGCAACGTTCGGCGGTTCAAACGGGCCAATGGGGCGCGACGCGGCGCCGGCGCCGGGCCAATGGGGCGACCGCGCCGGCGACGCTCGGCCAACCTCGGCGACGCTCGGCCAACCTCGGCGACGCTCGGCCGCACTCGGCGGCTCGAATGCCCGCTCGAGCGCCGCACAAAGGCTCCGCGCGATAAAAGCGGCGTACGAAGCGACCGGTTTGGTATACACACACGGCGACTCGGCTGGCCCCCCCTGTCTCGGTCGTGCCCGACGTTTATCTGCGTACGCGAGTTTTACGTTAAGGGATTCGTGCGAGCGGACAGACCGGGTTTGCACAACGAGCGCTCGAGAGCGGTGTTTCTTCCCCGGCGAGAGAGAGTAGGAGATAACGAGAAAGAGAGAAGCAGGTAAACGTTTTCTCCTCCCTTGGTCCTTTCGCGACGCAAACAAAGGGACGCCGGCGACCTCCGCGCTACGATTTATCAGACGCGACCCGTCGCGTCGTCTTTCCGGAGGTTTGCTCGAGCAAGCGGGATCGTCGCGCTGTGCCCGTCGATCTCGTGCCGCGTTTGGGACGACGAGAGGTGGTTTTGTGCGTTGTGTGTGCGTGTGCTGTTCGCCGCTTTACAGATTATGCAAATAACGCGTAGCGACGGCTATCAATGGCTTTTGAGCGACGGTGACGGGGAGTCATGGCGGAACGTTGATAAATAAGTGTTGGGCCTTTGTTCAACTTGATCGAGGTATCAATTCGCGACTGTACCGGGCTGATGTTGAAACACGACTCGCCAGCCGCCGATTCGCCTTGTAATTCGCGTCCTCGGTCCGCAAAATGTATGAATTTCGATTACATACTCTGCTTGTTGCGTGGCTATCCGTTTGCGGAAACCCTAGTAGCATAATACATGGGCGCGATATTGGAAAATTATGTGAATCTAGTATTGCCAATATTGGTTCAATATTGTAAGATGGGCATTTTCTTATTTAGCCAATGTGTCTTTTTAACAATATTGCTTTAGTATTGTATCAATATTAGACCAATATTCTTATTACATTGCCAAATATTGGCCGGTGCACTTCCAATATAAATCTAATATTATGTTATTGTGACGAGACGCCCGCCTAGAGAGTAGGGAAGTCCAGTTTCAAACCCTGGGGTCAATTCTGTATCTTACAATGTGAAAATGCTAAAAGTGAGTAGCTTTGTCCCTTTCTAACCGTCCCCTCAGAAAGAGACAAAGCCACTCACTTTTAGCATTTTCACTATATTGTGAGCGGCTTTGTCTCTTTCTGAGGGGACGGTTAGAAAGAGACAAAGCTATTTACTTTTAGCATCTTCACTATAGTTTAAGATACAGAATTGACCCCCCTGGCTGAGGTAATATTTTTCGCAATAAATTTTCTGTACTAAAACACTGGCCGGTTAATGCAGACTAAAATGCTTGATTATTGATTATGGTGCAATATTTGCATTTGTTTCCAGAGCCAATATTGGCTTTACGTTAGACAATATCGGCCAATGCATTTCTAATATAAGCAACCAATGTTTAGCCAATCCCTAGCGGAAAAAGTTTCTATAAATAACTACAAAAAATTGATTTCAAATAGAAATTTGTAGAAATTTTTATATCGTTGAAACATTTTTTTTTTAAATAACTACGAAATAGTCCCACAAATTACAATGTTCTCAAATCAAGAAATTATTGCAAGTAGTATTTCATGAAAATGTGCAATTTTGTAAAACTTAGTACAAAGCTTTACTAGTTTAAAAATTTTGAGAAAACTCCAAAATTTTAAAGAATTAAAACATCTGCTGACTTGTAGAATATTACAAAAGTTAAAAAAATGTTCCAATTCTAGCATTTTCATGTTGATTTTTATAACACTTTAAATTTATGTAAAATTTCTTGGATTCTGGCAGTATATTTTTTTTTGTAGAATTATTTCCGGCAGGGATGCACTGTGCTACTTGGGAAGACACATACGTGTGGAAAAGGTGTTTCCAATATCGTTTGCCTGCTTTTGTTCAGGAAGTTTACTAGTCTATTTCTCGGTAATAATAAATTGACGCTAAATGAGTTAACATATTCGGTATTCACTTGTTGACTGTTGCGACTAATTATGGATAATTGTACGACTGTTTAATTCATTTGAAAAATTAGTTTTCTTCTTTTTTGAAAGGAGATTCGCTAACGTCTGATTTGATTTCAAAGAAATGTGCTTTAATGAAAAGGCAGAGTGGAGTGAACAGTGATAGCCGCTAGATGTCGCTGTGTAACTCATCTGGACCGACGTTGTACCCTCCGGTATCCATGTACGCACCGAGGCTACAGTCCGTTTCGTTGTGTTCCGTGAGAAAAAGAATGGGCCATTTTTCAATGAAATTAAATTTACAAGATACACTTTTGCGACAGTAAAACAGGTTAAACGGCACGGGGTTGATTATCCAGTCTAATTATTATTTCGTCCCTCATTTATTTATCTATTTGATCTTATTGCGCATGAAAACCTCCGAGCTCTACACAAAATGGTTTAGAGCCTCGACGGTACCAGAGAGTGTTTGGTCAACGATAGAAAATTTTCGTACGTTTATGCAGTATACAGCCTCGAGAATCCGTACATGTTTTATATCCCCGTTAATTGTTACGCATAATAAATTCTTGTCAATTGTAAAATAATAAATTACTTCGCGAAGCGTACAATTAAAAAAATCTCTTGAGGCTCCAGTCCAGGTAGCGTTAAGATATTTTTGAGCGGGACAAAGAAAACATAATTGAACTTTCAATAAAATCCATGAGGCTCTAATGTGAAAACACAAATACGAAGTAGCAAACGAGTATAAGAGCCAAGATGTTAGTGTCTAAATAATTTTAAGTCTATTGCGAAAAATAATTGAACTTTCCTTTTGCTACTCTACAATATTTATTTAATTGCAGTTTTAACAACGCAAGAATAGTAGAGATAGGTCACATCGGGGCTTTCTTTGTCACTAATTAAAGGACGCGACAAAACCCATTATTCAGAATGAAATACACATTTTAACAGTTTGCCTTATTAAAAAGAATTCTTATAATATACGAACTGGTCTAGCATAAAGCCAATCGGTTATATCGTCGCTGCAAGTCTTCCACCGAGTTCAAGAAACTCACTTAAAAAATATCGATAACATTTTATTTTTGTTAACTGCGCTTTCTATGCAATTCTGTTTGTATAATTTTCTTCTCATCTGTACCAAATCTACGGCGAACGCTCATCTCGAGCTGAGAATGTGTGATACAATTGAAAAAAAGAGGATAGACATCGCGACGATACCAGGAGTCTCGTATGTGTAGTTGGAAAGAATGTATACATATTACGACTCGTGCTCGCACATCCTCTATTTGTTCTTTTCCTCGAACGTCCGGGGTGCATCCAGTGCTCATTTAACAAACGTGTCGCTTACGGAACGTTTTTGTTGCAGATATAACACCATGGCCACCGCAGCGGAGTCGCCCGTTTCCAACAAACGTGAGTAACAGTCTTAAAGATACGTAAAACAATGTTAAGCGATCGATAGATGTTGCATATTCATTGTACGTGCTCGACGAACGCTGTTCAGCGAAGGGATCGCGAGTGCGCTCGAGCCTGGAAGGCAAAGCTGCTTTCGGAAAACCAGTTCGCTCAAGAATCAATTTACGATTACGATCGATTTATTCCCATTAAATCAATATTGGAGGAAAGTCCTCTATTGTGAGACGGGTTTTTAATATGAGATAGCAGGTTTTCAATCACAAATCTTTTTTTTCGCGACGATTACACGATCTAACAATGATTTTTCCACTAAACAGATTTCGCTCCAAGGGCAATAAATTCATGGTGGAATCAACTGATGATGTCTATTAATTTAACGGAAACCCCGCTATCCCATATTAGGATCCTATCTCACAATAGGACTTTCCTCTACATATATTCAAGCGCAGGAAGCACGGTATGCGAACACTAACGCTTTGTATATTTTTTATTTGTACATGGAGAGAATTTTCTCGTAAAATGTATTTTGAAAACTCATGTATGATAATTGTGAGACGATGCGGCATTTCAAATAATTTTAGTGAGTTTCTTGAAATTTTGCCATTTTACTAGTAAAATGTGTGGTAAAGTTTCAAGAAGAATCCTCGTAAAGTTCTTCAAAGTACCACGTTGGCCCTCGATTACATGATTTTTCAGGATAAATTTTAACAGAAAATTCTCTCCGTGTGTATCGTATGAACGTTAGCGTTCGTTAGCACACGGAATATCAGCGGTTTCTCCGGTCATTTTTTTGTGGGAGAGGTCACGCTTGATACAAGAGTGCAAGTCTTGCCGTCCCTTGGCCGATAGCAGGACAATGGTTCGGCAATTAGAGAGGAGGACCGAGGCGACCGGGCGACTCGGCGCCGCGGCGGAGAGCACGCACTCTGAACACGGAGACCAACCGGACCGGAGACCGGCGAGACCGGCGAGACCGGCAGGCGGCAGGAGGACGAGAGGTCAGAGCCCCCGGAGCCGAGCGCCGACCGGCCACGTCCTCGTGGCTGGTGAGCGAGAATGAGCGCTGCGGAGGAAGAGGTTGCTCGCGAACTCTGCATCAGACGGCCGTGCCTCGACGGCTGACAACTGCTAGCGGTGCACGCCGGCGACCCGTCGCCTCCGTGGCTCTCAACTTAGACTCGTCGCTCGCGATTCGCGACCTGAAAAGGGAGTCTGGGGAGCCTCGGTCCCTTCGACCCTCGCGTCGACTCTCCTTCGCGCGAAAGAGCGAGCCGCGAATGAGTTTGTTCCACGAGTCGGACACGAATCGAGCGATGTAAAATTAATATAAATATAAGTCTCACGGCTGAAGCCTGATCTGCAACGTGCTCGTTGCGTCTAGAAATATTTGTTTTGTAGTCAATAAATTTCAACAAATTTGTGCGAGTTGATAAAGTTTTCAAGCGTACTGATTTGCTTGTACAAAATAGAATGTTTCTAATCGCGGAAAAGCACACATTGCAGATTATTGCGTGTGTGAAAATTCGGAAATTTGTGTTGCTATACGTGCTCTTGAATTAAGCAGTTTCCCGGTTAATCTAACGGAGGGAAGAGAGTGTTGGAATGGGATCCGCGATGAGCGAGAATATCGTTCTTGGAGCGAGGCTTTCATCGGGAAGGAACTAATGAAGGGATAACGCGACGATAAACTCCATTTTTTCCTCCGATCTTTCCGCTCGCTTTTTCTCGTTATCGCCATCGTTTAGATCCAATTAAATCGTAACGATCGAATGCGCCTCATTACGCGGAGCTCATTAGATTGAGATTTCTCAGGCGTTCGGCGGAAACGCGTCTTCTTACGGTCGCATTCGAGACTTCAGCGCCAGACTTCTTTTCTCGCCGAACAAAACAAGTCACGAAAGTTATCTTCTAGCCGCGGTACGACTCTATTTTTCTCCGTTTTGGATTATGAAACTGCAAAGATGAGGGATGAGACGTTGAAAGAATTTTAAAGGAGAAACAGGGCGAAGTTCTGAGGAAGGGAGAATCTCGCGTTCTCGAAGCTTTAACTCTTAAATCTTAATCTCCAACTTTCAGATGTAAGCTGTATGACCACAAAGCCGAACTAAATTACTTCTTAAACTAATAAGAACTTTAATTGTGCAATGATAATTATATTATGCCAATGTACTTATTATTAACGTGTCAGTAATCATATTAAACCAAGTAATTAATTACACGTATAAAAATTGCACATTACAATGAATTTTTCAAATTCTCGTTTTATTAATCTCGCTGAAAAATTAATTAGCTGTTACAGAAATAGGCAGAAATTCGTTGGTAAATAAGCGCATGAATTTCGGGCGCGTATTTCGGTTTCTTTTAAATTAGCCAAGTTTTTCGATCTTTTTCAATTTGTCAAAGACGAAACTTGAATTATACTTGGAAGTTGAAATCTATGCCTACACTGAAAAAAATTTCTGGTTGAATATGGACGAATCAGATAATTCCTTTACGATTTACCAGAATTCCTTTAGGATTTACCAGAATTTCTGTAGGATTACAGGAATTCTGGTAAATCCTAAAGGAATTATCTGATTCGTCCATATTCAACCAGAAATTTTTTTCAGTGTAGTTGTGGACAATTATGGATAATTATCTTGAGAGGTAAATATTTAATGCGAGAGCACGAGGAAATTAGTAATCATTAGCTCGCGTTCATCTGTCTCGATTTAATTGAATTAGTTTGATAGTAAGTGTTGCGTTAAGTCGTTCGGATTTAGCTCGTCGCCCCCTCGCGCGAGACAATGAACGGACAAGAATCAACGTGAAAGAAAGTTTCGCTTGTCCCTTTAATAAATCCGACCGTGACTGCGGTCATCGTGCGTCATGAAAATTTCATTTCTCATTGATTTCCACCGGGTAACCGACTCTCTAACCGGCATCTCTGCGTCACAGCACCGCGAGTTCCAACAAAACAGCGTGTTCGATCGTCCAGTGGAAAACTTTTGCAGAAAGCGCGATGCCCCATATTTCCCGGATTCGCCCTTGTCAAGTCCCACGGATGCAAACGACGACTCGAGTCTCGGTCGAATTTAAAGAGAGGAACATATGCGATCTTCGAGATTGAATCGAGGATTCGGAATACGGGCCTTAGAATTTACAGATCCAAAGAGATCGAGAGGTCCAACGATCTCGCGTTACTTGAAGATGCGGGATCGCGAAAATCAATGCGAATGCGTCGCGGCATTTTACGAGGTTCCGTGCCAATCGTGGGACCTTTTCCCAGGTAGATTTTTTCCCGTCGACCGTTTCGGAAATTGAAGCCGGTCCTTCGTTAACATGGTGACGGCAGATCAAGAGGGGTGGGAGGGAGGGAGGTTTCTAGAGAGCGGTACATCTCCGGTGAGACGGGGAGAGGAGAATGGGAGATAGACAGATGGCATTTTGCGCCTGCATATAGGCTTCCGCACACGTGTCTAACGACCGGCTCCGAGCTGTACCGAGTGTCCGAAAAAAAGAAACGGAAGGACCTTTAAACAGTCGAATCTTTCAAGAACGTGGAACTGCTGGAGAACGAAGAGATCTTAACGTCCTAGAACCTCGAGGACCGGAAGCTCGGTGTATAATCACACCGGGTTTCATGATTCGCGAAATTTCGAAGGACCGTGGCTCCTCCAAGTATTTCAGAATTCTGAGAAAAAATGCACTCCTTCAAAATGTCTCGCGTGAAGCAGAATCGCAACGTCCAGACTCGCGAAATGTCCAACCCCGAACTCTGCCCCCCCCCACCCCCCAATTAAAGCTCTCCTTTTTAATGTCACGACTTTGACCGACCCTCCGCGCCTGACATTTTTTCCTTCCTCTCGCGCATCCATTAAGCATCCCTCTTTTTTTTTCCCCTGTCTAACGTGGCCTTCTCGTCGGACACCCCGTATAGCCAATAACACCCCTCCGGCGGCTGCTCTAGTAGTAGTGGCGATCGCAGGTTGGAGTTTGCTAGCTGGAAGGGTGGCTTGTCGTCGGGTAGGCTGTTGGTTGCACGGCGCGGGGGAAGACGAGGAATAGAGGAGGAGGAGGAGGAGGATGGTGAGGAAAAGGAGGTGGAGGAGGGTGGTCGAATATTGAGCGACGCCGGACGTCGCGGCGCAGCGCAGCGTGCGGGCCAGTCGCCCTCGAGCCACCGCCCCAGTTACGACCTGAACGACATTTCCGGCGTGCCTAACTCTTCTCTCCTCTGGTTCTCTTCTCCTCGTCGCCTTCCAGCCCATCCGCGTCTCTCAGTCTCGCGCGCCCGATCCCGTCGCCGAGATCCGCGAGAAGCAACCACCCCTTTCGTACGAAACGAAACGACAATATGCTGATCGGTCTCGTGCGCGACTCGGTGCTCCAGTGCTTCTGTCACAGCTGCAAGGCCCCGCTGGGCGTCGTAGGTGAGTGAGTTCCTGTCGCGCGAGGCCCGCTGTCCTTATCCATCCCCTCGCTGAGACCTGCCTTCCTTCCGGTTTCCCCGACATCCGTAAAGATCGGCTCTGCCAGGCTGCTTTTAACACTCGACCCCGAGAACCCCCGATTTGAAGATCATTTCCTTAGTTTTTCATGATCTCGAATTGATCTTGAATAATTCTTTCCCAACGACTTTGCTGTCGGTCTTTGAAGAGCGGGAGAAATGTCGCCTGAATATTTTCACGTTACGAAGTTCTCGGGAGCTTAAAGGAGCGAAGTATCAAAACTCGCGGCGGAGATTTCGGCATTGGTTCGTCACTGAGCTCGATCGGGGTGGAGTTCCGCAGAGGTAGCCTCGCACGAGGAATCCTTGCGAAGGATTTCGAAATTGCCGTAGAGTTTCGCGAATATGCGATTTCTTATTTCTGTACAATTGTGCGATTTCGTGACGGTATTCCCGGCGGAGCCAGTCTTTATGCAGCAGTTATTGGGTGCTCTGTATTTTCCCGTAAACTTGGCGATTGTAAAACGTCGATTTTCGAGCGGAATTATACGGTTCTAGTGGGCGGAGT